TGGACTGGTGGAGGAACAATTCCATGACGCTGGTTGTGATTGTGTGGGAAGTCATCAGCACCAATGTTGTTGGGTTGGTCTTGGTCATCTACAATATCAGCCATTGTGTCTGTTGCTGTTTGTTCTCTTAGTTGGCGAGCGATACGGTCGATGTTATCGTTGAAAAGGAGATTCTGATTTCCTCTTGACCGTGTATGCATATAACAGGTAACAGCAAGGCTTTAGCAGACCAATCAAAGATGAGTCTGTAAAGCTGGTTGCTGTGAGTACCTGAAACACAGACAGAAAAACACAATGTCAGTATCTTGTGTAACAAAAACGAACTTGATCTTAGCGATTCTAATGATCTCAAATATAGCAAACAAACACTAAACTGGCAACGACGCCAAATTGATAATAGACTTTTTCAGATCAATTAAACCTAAAACACTATCGTGTCGTTGTAGTATTTTAGGGTGTCAATCCAATCTAGTGCGATGCAAACAGATGAGATATGATCAGAATTTGCTAAGTCAAGCCAAGCAGAGAGTTGTTGTTTTCTAACAATCCTAATGCGAAATAACAGAAATGAAATGAAACCGAGATGCAAACTAGCAATAGCAGGCAGTTGAATAATAAAGCAGGTAAAATAGCAGGCAATCAAATGGATGAGAGATTCCTAAGGACAGGGTAATCGAATAGCGTGGTCTCCTTAATCTATTTAGACGGTTGACAAAACTTCACAGAAGCTATCCCTTGACAACAAGTTCAAAAGCAAATCAATTCACCACCGTGATAGAAATTCTCAAGCAGAGCTAGACACAGACCTAATCACCATTAGCGATCTCTAACTAAGCAGGCAATATCGAATCAACTTGTTAAAGCCAATACCCGCTCTAAACGGCCAATACCTTGGGATAGAGACGAGTATCTCTGGAATTAGCGGATCGAACATTCCATCAAACATCTTTTGGGTGCGGGAATGTCTGGATTCATTTTCCAGTTGATCAGAAAGGAACAAGCAATAAGCGCAACTAATCCAGAAGGGATTCAAACAATCTAAACTCAACCATCTAAATCGACTAAGACAACCACGACCACTCTATCCCATCCTCAGAAATACAATTCACTACTCAGACATAATCAAAAACAATAGCAATGAAACGATAGAAAACATGATAACAAGAAATGATAAAGAGTGAAACAAAAACTGAATTATAAAATACTTGAAAGCAAATACAAAGTCGCAGGAAGAACACACTGCGGCTACCAAAACGAGTCTAGGTAAAAACTGAAAAATAAAGACTCGATGCCCTAGGGAAAACCCTTAGAAGCTGCTTATATAAGCGAAAAAAGGTTAAATAAGGAAAGTTCGGGATAGTGGTCTTCACAACGAGACTTTGCGATCAAGCATCTGATGGGCTGAAATGGGCTTCCCTGTGATCGAGTGAAACTGATCAAACTGGGCTTCGGGAACTCCGTCTTGCGATCGAGTGGTCTGTAGTGAAGACGAGATGGAATGGTCCAGCGACCTTGCGATCGAGTGGTGCGATCGAGTAGATGACGTGAGGTGGTGATCGAGTGGTGTAGAGTGGGTGATCCCTCCGGGCTTGCGATCGAGTGAAACTAAGCTGCTGGCTTCTCCGGGGTTGTGATCGAGTGATATATCCTTCATGACAGCTTCTGCTCGATCTTGCGATCGAGTGGTTTCTTCTGAAATTGCTCCGGAGTTGTGATCGAGTGGTTTTGCCCTTCATGACAGTTTCTGGGGTTGCGATCGAGTGCTTTGCTCTGTCAGGGCTCCGAGGTTGCGATCGAGTGCTTTGGCTGAGGGAGTGATTGAGAGTTCTGAATTTCTGTTCTGTTTCTCCTCTGTTTGAACTCCAAAAGCATCCAAAGTACCTGAAAACAACCGAATATGCGATGCACATGCAATCCTAATGCAAAAACGTCCTAAGTATGCAAAACACACTAAAACGACCACTAATGAGATGAAATGTGACTGAAACAATGACAAAGTGATGAAGAATGAATGCTTAAATCATGCAAATTATAGACATATCAGTTCTTCATCCAATCTTAAAGGTTTCCCTTGAGAAAGTCCAAGTCATGGGCAATAGATTTTTTTTAGTCGTAGAACTTGGATCATAGTTATCACATCCTTTCTCGGGTTATGATGATGTCAACTATTGTTAGTCAAAACTACAATCAGAGTAATCATTATGAAGAAGGGAATAAAAATAATACATCTTATTTAAAAGATTGTATGACCTCTTCTGAATATTCTTGTTTGCCACATATTTTTGCAACTTAATTAATCGTCCATCTGCAGAATGGCTAAAACCCAGATTTCCCTTTTTCTGTTCAAAAAAACATCTCAAAGTCACCCGGAATTTCACTAAAATCACTTGTCATGTTTTCTTTTCAAAATAAAAATCTAACAAATCAACCTATAAATTTCCTTAAAACTCTCCCAAATCACTCAAAACTCTAAAATATTCAAATTCCACCACATCTTCCAAAGTTCTCGATCCAATACACCCCCCTAAGATCTAGCTGATATATACATGATGATGACTTGGGCCTTT